TAGTAAGATACCCTGATTTTCTTTTTTTTTTTTTTTTTTCTCTATAATGCCCTTTAATCCATAACATTTATGACTATTCGGAGGTGGCAGATGCACCATCCCTGGAGACATTCAAGGCCAGGCTGAATGTGGTTCTGGGCAACCTGATCTAGTTGAAGATGTCCCTGCTCATTGCAGAGGGGTTGGACTACATGAGCTTTGAAGGCCCCTTCCAACCCAAACCATTCCACAATTCTATGATTTCATGATCATAATCTTAGTGTCAGGAGTATCAAAAAGTGAAATGGAAATGTAATGCATACATGTGCCAGTGTATGATTGCTGGAACCTCAGAGTGGGCGAGGTGCAATGACTTCACCTGAAATAGTCACAGACTGCAAGATAGCATGATAGAGAGCTGATCACAGGGATCCAGTAATGATGGTGATCACATGAAGTGGTCATCTGAGATGCTGTGGAAATATTTACTGAACAATGACAGAAATCCTTACCACCTTCTGACAAAGGCTGGTGGGGCAATGAAATATTGCACTGTGGTGGAAAGCTGATCTACATCTATCGTGTGTTCTTCCATGTTTGTAGTTGGACATCTTCAAAATACCTGGGGTAAGAGCCATGCCCTCAGTTTAACATCATCACTTCTGTATTGCTATATTTAGAACCCTGTGATCTCACTGCTAAGGTCAGTCAGTGAGGAGGGGATTCTTCTCGCCTCACATTAGCTATCTAAAAATTCAGTGAGTGTCTAGTAGGTAGTTGTCTGCACTCCCTTTATAGACAAGGGAATGAGGTGAGCTTCTCCACAAGCCTGAAGGTACTATTTTGTGATGGGGTGTATCATGCCCTGGGCATGCCTTTGCTTTTCCATTAGCTATCTCAGAGTAGCTATAATTGCCTTTCACTAGGTGCCTGAGTTTGAGATCGCTAAGGTTAAAGGGCAGGTGCACCCAACCTGAGCCAGCAGAGAGGAGATGGGCCTTGCTGGCACTTTTTTTTCTAGACAATGTTATTTTGTGATTCACTGGGAGAATTGTGCTTGCCCCTGATGTTTGCAGAGTGAGTCAAAGAGGAATACCTTCCCTAATGAAGGGGTGCTAGTCTCATATGCTATCACTAAACATCAAACTCTAATCCAGATATACCTGGCACCTGCCCTGTCTCTCACCCCCCTGGTGAGAACCCAGGGTTTCTTCTGTTGAAATCTCCCTCAGGAGTGACAGCTGAGATTTCAGTCAGAAACCGGTGACTCTGGAGAAAGGACTTCCATGTTCCTAGGCAGTCAATTCTGTATTGAAATGCTAAGGGAAGTACTTTTCAGGTTGAGTATCTCCAATATTTTATATTCCTTGTTATCAAGGCATCCAAATGTCTCACAGTCTTCCCTGCATTTAAATTGTTGCAAGCCCTATCACACATCACTCAGGATCTACGGGCACAGTGTGGTAATATGACCATGACGGATTAGAAACCAGCATGTGCGAGACGCTGCAGACCCTGCTCAGAGCCAGGGGTCAGGAAAAAGGGGAGAAGAACCTGGCAGGTTGTACAGCTCCTGTGAAAACTGCAGGAGTTCTCCTAGCTCGCTCCTATGCTGTATTTGCTTTCCTCGGGTTCCTTCAAGGGACAAAACTCTCTGCCTAAAGGGACCTAAATACTACTGTAAATGATTAAAGATGTAAAATAATCTGAGCCAGTTCTCACTGGCATCAATCTTATGGAGAGATGCAGCTCTATGCCTTATTCAGATCTCACCCACGACACTAAAAAAAAATGTATTTGGATCAAAATGCTTCCTTCTTTATGCTTATGATCACATTATTTTAAGAGGTTTCATGTCTTTAAAAGGTATATTAAACCTAAAAATGGAGACACTGTGACAAAACCCACCCCAGAGCACATCTGGAGGGGTTGAGTTTAATAAGTACCTCTTACATTTTCCATCAACTGTTTGAACTTAGCTCCTGTTTCTTTGAACCTCTTGTTCTCACTGAAAGCCCTGCTGACATGCTTTAAAAGCATACAAATAGCTTCTGGTGCAACTATCTACACAATATATTCTGTTCTGTTTTCGTTGTAATACGCAATTCAGTTCATGAATGCCTGAGCTAGTAGAGGTAATGCAGAGATAAATCTCTGGTATTACTACTTGTTTTACCATCTGTTTCTTTATGATGCACAAGATCTGATTCTTTGGCACTTCACCAACAGCATCCAAGGCTGGAGGTAGGTACAACAAAAATTAAAGTGTATAGCATCCCTAAAGAAGATGCTCAGAATTGGGCTGTGGCCAGCCTCATCTATTAAGTTGTTTGAACTTAATATATGTTATTTTATTAAGGAAATTGATTTCATATTCATCACCAATTTAGCATCAATAGCATATGACCACTTTCTATGGTCTTTTGCAGCTCCCCACTGTGATGGGAGACAAGCAAGTGCATGACCCCGAGCACTTACAGTCCACGCAAGATAAACCAGTTGGGTTTATGGTAAATTTTCGAATTTAAAGGGAACAACATGATTGATGTTGCAACTGAGGCAGTGGAGAAGCAGGACTGAGATGCAGTGGGATGCAAAATATGGAAGAACACACATTACTCAGTGAATGGGTGTTGGGCAAAAGTCATTTCTATAGGCAGCGCTGCCTCCTGGAAGAAAAGATCAGTGGATAAACAGCCCAGCTGGAGATACTGCTGGACTATGGTCTGGAGCCTGCAGACATAGTGGAAATGGGAGAACACTTCAAAGGGAGCTGAACCTGAGATTAGGACACCATGGAGGGTGGGGCCTTAGCTGAGGGGCACAAACAGGGAAACACACGGGTGTGGGGTTGAAAAGGTGAGGAAGAGCAGCTCGTGGAGTCGAGGAGGGGGAAAAAGAGCAGCTGCTGCCTCCATGCAAGAAGTGGGAACGCAATGGAGAGAAGCGAGGGCCAGAGCGAGGGAGCGGGAGCTGGCGGCGGAGGCAGGGCAGGGAGGAGCAGGCGGCGGTGTCGGAGGTGGCAAGGGAGGAGGAGTGCACGGAGCGCTGCTCGGGCTGCAGTCCCTGCCGCGGCAGGTGCTGCCCGGGCGACCCCCTCTGCCCTCCCTGCCGTCCCCAGCGACGTTCCACCCCCCTCGCGCTGGCGGGGTCCCGGGCAGCCCCTGCAGCGTGGCGGTGTCTGCGGTGCGGCGAGTCCTTCCCGGCACCGGCACCGCCGACGGTACCTGCCCTGCCCGCGGGGCTCGGCCGCGCTTCTGCCCGCTCTGCAGGGGAAGCGCTGCCCAAACCCGGGCGCGGAGCAGAGACGGGATCCACGCAAACCCCGAGCCCCGCGGAGCTTCCCGCGCCGGCCGGCCGCGGATGGGAAGAACCGCGGATGGGGGAAATAGACGGCCCGGGGCAGCAGCCCTGGTCCTGGGCGGGTCGGGTCCCCCGCCGCGGGCCGGACGCTAGTGGAAAGTTTCCCTGGAGTGACCTCTCATAGTACGCGCCCGCTAGGCAATCTCATTCAAGTATTTTTGTCAATGGGGGGAGGTGGGGGGGGCACCCTTCTCCCCGGCCCCCGGCCCGGATGACGTCACTGCAGAGGCGATAAATATCTGTTGATATAATTGGACGTGAGATTTGGGGTTGCGATAGCGAAACTCGGCCCATCGCCGCTCCGACGGGCCCCCATGATTTATTCAGCAGTGGATCGGGGCACGCAATCGGGCTGTCAGGAGAGCGTCAGCTTATTAGGCAAGTTCTGCGTGGTTCCAGGAGAGGGTCTAAGCTATAAAAATCCCGCGCCCCGGCTCTGATTAGGACCAAATCTGATCCCAAGTTCGGCAGGAGCCGACTCCGGGGAAGAGTGAGAGGAAGGGACGCCGGACACCTCCGAGTCCCGCCACCTGCCCTGTCGCCGTTGCAGCCCCAGGTAGGTGCGGGCTTGCGACTAGGCGAGGATCGGGTTGCGCTGCACTGCGTGGGGCTGAGCGCGGCGCCCCGCGGGAGGCGGGAGCTCCCCCGGCCGGGCGGGCAGCGGGGAGGCGAGAGGGAGCCGGGCGCTGGCACCCCGCTGCTGCTGGGGAGAGCCGCCCCGCCGCAGGCACCCCGCCCCGGGTGGGTGAAGAGGCGCCGGACCGGCTCTCCTCGCAGGGGCTCAGCACAGCCTGGTCCGCGGGAGCCGCTGCCAGCGCAGCCCGGAGCTGTTCGGCGGGAAGGGAGGGAAGGGGCGGCCGCCTCGACGGCGGGGGCAGAGGGCTCCCGGGCAGCGGTGTGCGGGGCGCGGAGGGGAGCGGAGGGGCGCGGACGGGCGCGGAGGGATGAGTTTCAGCACCGGGACAGCGGCCGGCCGTGCTCTGCCCTCCCTGCCGCCGCTGTTCGGCTGTGTAACCCCGTCCCCGGTCCCTCTTGCGTCCCGCAGGTTTGGGCCCCGACCATGAAGATCCCGCTGCTGGTGTCCACGGGAATCCTGTTGGTAGCCCTCCTGCCCTGCCAGGAGTGCAGAGCCCTCAGCAAGAACCCGGTAGCTGCCCACGGGGCTCTGCACCAGCCAGATTTCTTCCAGCAGCAGCAGCAACAGCAGCAGCAGCAGCAAACTCTGCCCGTCCTGCTCCGCATGGGAGAAGAGTATTTCCTGCGGCTGGGCAACCTCAACAAGAGACCCGTTGGCTCTTTCTCCGCCTCCTCCAGCAGCACTAGCCACCTACAGCCCGAAGCCGCCGCCAGCAACTTTTTCCGGGCGGCGGTGCAACAGCTGCAGCAGCTGCCCGAGCGCTCGCTGGGGAGCCCCGAGGAGGGCGAAGCAGAGGGCGAGGCCGTGGAGAGGGAGAAGCGATCCGAGGAGCCCCCTATTTCTCTGGATCTGACTTTCCACCTCCTGCGAGAAGTCTTGGAGATGGCCCGAGCCGAGCAGCTAGCGCAGCAGGCTCACAGCAACAGGAAACTGATGGAGATAATCGGGAAATGAAGCGGCCCCTCCCCGCCTTGCCAAAGAGATTCCGCAGTTAGCACAAGAATAATTACACCGTCCGATGTACCATAGTGCTGCTCTGATGTCATCTCTTTATTTTTATATAGCTTTAAACCTAGAAGGGTGTACTCCGAACAGCCTCTGTCCCTTGACTAGCATGCACAACCGTGTACCAAGTGCAGAAACACGAGTGTCGTTCGTAACCTCCCCTACCTTTATTTATTTCTCCATTTCCCAGTTATTCTAGTGCCATCGCTACGTAGGGATGTGTGAGCATTGGAAGAAGTGGTGCCGAGAAGACAGATAACTTTTCTGCTGGGGGCAGGGAGGTGGGAGGGGGAATCTCTGTAAGCTACTTTAAATCCACTTTTTTTTTCCTGTAAACACTTTCACAATAAAACATCTTTTCAGCGCTCGGTCGATTTGGTTGTGTAAGAGAATGTTTAATATTTATATTTTTAATAAAAGCTGCAAAGTAAAGATGGCTTGATAGACTTTCTTGCCTGGACGCCCGAGGGCTGCTCCACCTCCCTCAGCGCTTACCGGGGCGGGGAGAACGGGGGGGGGGGGGGCTTGGGGGGTGTGTGCACCCACGGCCGCGGTCACCCGGAGCCTAGGGGAGCCCTAAATCCCCCCCGAGGACGCGTTTCCTCTCCCCGCCCCGGGAGCCCCGGTCCCCGCGGGCTGTCCGGCGAAGCGCCCCGACGTGCCGCTGGCCCCGGGCGCAGCAGTCCTCGGAGCAGGCTGCTCCCGGGGACCGGGGGGAAACGGGGGGCTCGGGGGCCGGTGGATGCCCCCAGCCCTGCCGATTCACCCCGAGGGGCTCCCCGGCCTCTGCCGCTGCGGCCGGGGTCGGGCAGTCTCCTCCCGCCAGAGTGCAGAGGTGAGAAAACCTGAGCTCCGGCCTCTCTGTTGTGTTCTCGGTCTGGCTCTGCTCGTCCTCCCCGCACCCCCAAAAGGCAGGTTCTTCCCCACTTCAGCTCCTCCCGTCCTGGCGGCGGTACTCAAGCTGGGTCCCTCCCAGGGGCGCTGGGGAGGTGGCAGTGCTTATGAAGACACTTCACAGGAGGAACTGGGGAAAGACCTCCATATTTTCCAGAAAATCCCTCACGCCAAACCAAATCCCAGGAAAAGCTGCTCCAGCAGCCAGAGCAATGAGGTGGTGGTGGCTGTGGAAGTCCCAAAGCTTTGCAGGGAGCTCGCCTGTGCAGCTCTCCAAAACTCCCACAAGAGTATTTTCCAGGCAACACAGATACCAATGAAGGCTAAGGTGGCTCAGCCTGGCAGTGAGGAGAGGCCAGGCTTGGGGTTGATGCCTCACAGCCTCCTAACCTGCCTGGGGTCTGCACCACAAGCTCACCAGTCCTGCTGAAGCTCAGCACAGGCCTATGGCCCCACACAGTCCCCTGCCCAAATGGTATGTCCAAGGCCAGGCTCCGGACTCCCAGAAAGATCTGTGCTTAACCCTAGTGCAGAGCTTGATGCCTGGCCCCCTATGGCACCAAGGACTCCCAGCAACTTGCTTATCTCCCTTAATCACTACTGAGTGCTGACACTCTGTCCTCGATGACAATACTTGCAGAGTGTCACCTTCAGTACAACTTGCAGAACTTTTAAGACATGAATTTGATTTCATTAGGCGGCTCAGCACCTGCCATGCACACAGAACAGGACATTTCACATTTACCTTTTTTACAGCTCACCATGAGGCCTTCAAATTAAACCTGTGACCACCTCATCCCGTTCTGGTTTTGTGCAAGAACACGTCTGTTTTCTGACACACAAGGATGACTGAGAAAGTGCAGACACATTATGGCTGGACAGATGTGGGCAGCACTCTAGCATCTGCCCTACGGGCTCAGAGCTGTGTTCTGCAATCATGTGCAGGGGCTTGGCCAGTGCTTTCAGCATGCGCATCTTGCTCATCCCTGCTGCTGGGCACCTTCCCTACAAATAACCTCTATGGGAGGGTCATTTGTGGTGGCTCAGCAGGAAGAGCAAGTGGGAAGGGAGAGATGGCAGCTTCTCTCTCCCATCCTGTGTTCAACCTCCGCAGCCGGGGAGACACCAGTGCTGTGGGAATACAAGTGGCTGCAGGGATGAGCTCAGACACAACCCTGGCTTGAGGCTGCCGAGGGTGTGATAGTGTCACTGAAGTCACCAGAGCACCGACGAGTGGGGATGCAGGAGGGTACTGAGGAGAAACACTGTTTTGGTAAAGGATGCTACTAGTGAATCTCAGACCAGCATTTTAGCTAACAGTGGTGAAGCATTTACACCTACACATGGATGTGCCAGAAAGTGAGTGACAAAACACTAGCAGTGCTCAGCCTACAGCTGAAGTGATGCTGTTTTCCCCTTTGAAACAAGAAATTATTGAAAAACACTCTGAGTACAATAGTAATTTGTCCCCATGTCCCTGTCTTTCTCAGGACTGTCATCTCAAGGGCTGGGTACAATGTGGAGGCCAACTTGAGTTCCTGGGAACAAAACCCTCTTGGATGTCCCTTTCCAGGGCAGTTTCTTTGCTGACTGCAGCCAGGCTGCGGGCGCTCGTGGTCCTTCTGAGGAGAAGCACACCAGAAGCCAGCCGGAGTGAGTCATCATTCAGTCAGTGAGTTCAACCAGGAGAAGGAGAAGATATGACGAGCCGGCTCATCATCCCTCTCGTTGCTCACGGGAGTTTCCTCCACTTGTCCTTGAGGGGACAGTTCAGAACCAGTCTGTAAAGGAAGGAAAGGTTGACAAATGGAAAAGGAAAAGATGAATCACATTAAAATCCTTAAGATTTCACAACATGCAGAAAACCAGAATGAAGTGGGAAAGAGGAGGAAAGGCCAGAATCATGAAAATTTGGGGAGGCCAGCAAGACTTCTAATGCCAGAGAAGTCAGAAGGACTTTTGTCACAGACAATGGAAGAGGGAGGATTACACTGGGTGAGCTGTGTCACAGCTGTGCAAAGGGCTTAATCCTGATTTGGACTTCTGGAATGTTATTGCACTGATGGTGATAACTGCCTGCTTAGAAGTGATCCAGAGCCAGCTTGGCTTGTGTAGATGGGTCTCCAGATTGATATGAACCAAAGCCAAAAGTTATTGTCAGTGCATTGCCACTCAAAGTGATCCTTGTTCTGCTGTCATGAAATCTGCCTTGGATGTGGTGCTTTTTCTCTTTTTTTTTTTTTTTTTTAAAGTCTTTTAATATTTATTTCACTTCAATTTCACTCAGCCCAAGAATAGGAAACAAATAATATGGAAATAAAAGCTTCTGCTTATATCCCAGGGCAAATTCCGGTTTTATTCGCACAGGTATCCTATGCTTACAGTAAAAAAAGGACTCTGGACACAATATGCTGTAACTGCTAATCACAGCAATTATTACTATTTTGAAAATTAGCTGAATATTTAACAGACCAATATAATATACAGAAATATTTTACTAGTCCCAGTGTTTTCAGATCCCTTTGGCAGAGAATGAAGACTGATTTGTGATAGCATCTGAAATCCTATTAAAGATAAAACATGTAAAAATGGGTGACTTGGTAGCTAAGGGATACCTTGTGTCTTCATTATTAAAATCACTGTTTAACTTGCAATATACAGGATTTTCCCCCTTCTTTATATTCCTAGATATGCACATAAATTATTGTACATTGTTAATATTAAAATTGCCATACTGCTAGCCTTCTCTGCGCAGGATTTCACCTTCATTTGGGAACTTTATCATGATCTTAGGAGAATTATTTGATGTCAGGATACTACTCGATAGAGGGAAAATGAGAGTGGTATCCTCTGAATTTTAACATGTCTCAATCTATATAATATTGTCCTAAATGGAAGTTACCAAAGCAGTGATGCCAACAGAGATATCCAGGAACAAACAATGAAGCAAGGATGCTTGTGAGGAACTGAAGCATGGGATGGATGACTTTCTTAAGCATTTCTGGAAGTGCTTAATGTTACAGTATACCACAGGAATTAGTAAGAACTAATGGCATGTTAAGTATAAATTTGCTACTGGGCTTCATTCCAGTTACTACCTATTCAAGTGTCATGACACTAACAAAAAAGACTGCATGGAGGTCTGAAAAATGTACATCCCTATTTCTTTATATGCAATTAGAGTTCACAGCTCCTTTTTTAGATGCAGATCCTCAGTTGCTTTAGACTGGAATAACCCTACTTGTTCCAATGAAATGCTACCTGAGAAAACGTATGAAATATGGACTAACCTTTTACTTTGATTCATATTTTCAAAGCAAGGCACTCACTGCTATTTGTTGCAAAATACATGGCTCAGAAAGGATTTTTATGGACAAGGATCTTGGAGAAGCAAGCTTTTGCTTGCTAACTTTATAATGCATTTTAATAAGTGCACAAGCATGATGAAAAACGTGGGAGAAATAGCTGCCTACTTGAATACCAAAGTCCATTTTCAGCAATGCTAGTGAGAAGGGTTGTCTCCCAAGCTTACACAAAAGTTTTGGGCCCATGGGGGTAGATCTTCAGCTGAAAAGGCAGGTAGTTAATTGAGTCCTGATTATAGAAGATCTGCCTCTCAGCACTGAAAAGTGCTGAATGCAAACCTTTCAACCTGATTACAAAATTCAGGTATCAGCATTAAATACATGGCTAGACCTTCTGAGTTGTAAGAGATCCTATGCTCTCTCTATCATTGTGGGTACAGGAGTGTAGGTGTTCTATTAGACCTCTGTTGAAAATTTTACCTTTTTTTTTTTTTTTTGGAAGGACATCTGGAGTGCCTGAACTAGCTAAGAATTGGTTTGAAATTGGTTGCGCAGTTTTGTGCAACGAGCCTTCACTAGTGTGTGTAAGGAGGCATGGGACAGCCCGCCTCACTTCTCACTCTTCAAAGGAATAGGACTGCCTAGAGGTTTAATAAAGAATTGCTTGTATTTCTTTTTACTTAAAACCACAGTGGTACCTCACAGTTTCTCTGCCTGTGCAAGATGGGATTCCTTTAGCACTTCCACTTGCTTTTCCAACCAGCTACTATTCAGAAGTACACATTAAACTAAGGTTAACTCTGAAGCAAAGAACTATGTATAGACTTAAGTAAGTAGCTTGTTTCATAGAATTTGGACATAATGTGTAAGAAGACAAAAATCACAATGTAATGACTTAGACTGGCTAGATGACTGCATTACCTTGTTAACCAACTCTGCTGGTACTGCATTTCAAACAAAACAATCTTGGTCTGCATCACTGCCAGATCTGCATTTCATAAGGTGTTAACTCCTTCATATTTTGCTGTGATGACATCTTCCTGTGTCAGCAAAACAATGTCAGAGCTCCAAAATATTCCCACTGGGTTTGGCTGGATGAAGCATTTACTCCCTGCACCTTGCTGGACTCAGGAGGCTGCTAGTCTGCAATACTTCAGTGTGTCTTTCCAAGAGCAACCATTTGCCATCATGCCCAGACACCTTTTAAACTTGCATTTTCACACCCGTGACACTTTAGTATTTGTGCTCTGAGTCATACAGTGACTAAGGTACCCTATCCTCATGTGAGGCAAGAGACCATCAAAAGGTGCCAGGAGCAACTCTGTCCACATTAGTAAGTCAGTTCCTCCCTTCCAGCTGCAGCCCACACAACTCAGAGTTATACATTGTGCTGAGATTGTGCGACACAAAGCCGCAGACTTCTACAGAAAACTTCTTTGAACTCGGAGGTGATTCTGAAAGGTAGAAAGCAGAAGTAGGGCTCAATGTCAATTGGGCAATTGTCAATTGAGAAGAAGTGTCAATGGGATTAGGGTATCCAGCCCCTCTGCAGGTCCTTGCAATCTCATCTCAGATCACCTCGCTTTCCCTATTACAGCAGCCCTGTTCTGCTGCCAGAGAAAAGCTTTCTGCTGAGCACGGCACAGCCCTTGCCACATGCCTTTCAGCTGGTTCAGATTGAACACTTCATTGTGTCTATCCATTGCTATTAGGTAACTGTTGTCAAGCTTCTACTCGAGCTTTATCTTAGTCCTGGAGATCTCATGGGTAGGGCTGTTTTTCACATTACCTAGAATAACAAGTCCCAACCCTTGACTTGTGTCGCTAACAGTAATAAGGAATAACTAAAGTGTTTACCTCAGATTACATTAATCACATTAGGCCAATGCTGAGAGAGTGATGAATACTTACACTTTGATTTATATTTTCCCTTGTGGTGAAGAGTGACATCATATTAGGCTCTCAATAAGCACCAGGAATTTTCACCAGGCTAGCTCATGAAGCAGGGAGGAAAGCACACCCTGCATGACTGACGGCTGAGTTTGCTTTTCCCATAAGCAAAGTCCAGGCTGAAGTTCACGAGCCAAATTTTTGGAAGTGCTGAGCAACCACAACTCCCACTGAGCAGCCATTCAGCGCTCCTCAGCATCTGGCACACTAAAATTTGCATGTATAAGGATCCCAGAGTTTAACCTGATGAGTTGTATCAAAGTTGCAGGTATTCAGTATCTTTCGGCATTTGGTTCCTTAAGCAGAGCACTACTTAAATCTGTACACAGTTCTTATAAAGGGTGTGGAGGGGGGAAAGGAGTGAGTAGGATGGCTTTGCCATAATGTTTTCATTTATTAGGGTCTAGCAGTTATCCCATTTATGCTGGGGAAAAATACGCATCCTAAGCCTTCCAGAGACTTAAAACAAAATGAAATCTACACAGTATTTTCTGCTTTACCTCCATTAACCTCTATAGCCTTTAGGTACAAAGACTGGGATCCATATTACCAAACTTGAGTCATCCAGAAATGAGATATTCACTCAAGTAAGCTGTACTCATGCCCTATAATGGGAGTGATGAGAGGAAGGCACAACCAGAGGGTGGTTTGTCCTGTACATAGAAGTGTCTATAGGGTGGGTTGCCCTTTTCTTTCTGCCGACTCTGGAGACACTTGTGGTGACAGGGTTAGATTAGATCTGGTTTTTAAGTAAGATTTCAAGAGAAAGATTTCAGTCAAATACTTCAGGATATCATAAAACTACTTGTTAGAAATTGAGAACTTTGACTGCATTATCACTTTTACAAGGTCAGTAACTCTTAAAATTAGGAAATGGGGAGAAAAGGTGAAGGGTCTTCCTAGTCTTCTTTGGTTTTTGCTCTAGAAATTTTTGATTATTTTTTGATGACTTCTGATAAGGTGGGATCTGGAGAAATCATTGTTATAGTGTCCCTCTCAGAGATTGTATCACACCAGCTTGCAGGGAGATGTGAGAAGTAAGAGAAATGGGGGCTGAAATGGTTGTTTCCTCCAGGGCTGTAGATCACGCAGCAGTGTGTATTATCTGGATTAAGCATAAGTAGATTATAATTTTTGTAATTAATCAGAAAACAAAAATGTTTGCTGGTTTTATGCTGTCCACAGGAGCACAGATTGTGTCTTTGCTGGCAATAGAAAATTATCTCACATTTTTTGAACAAATATGGTTTTACCTAGTGAATTTGTACTACTTGAACACTTTGTGTCACCTGCCCTATTGCTGAATTCTCCAAGCCATCTTGTAGAGTCATGGTCTCAGTTTTGACCAAATTGATGAGAAAGGTCTAGATTTACAGTGAAAAAAGTGAGAAAAGAATGCATAGGATTTATTAGGAGTCAGTACACCCCAGGTTATGGGGTTATTCTTACAACTATGCAGATGGATGGTTATTTATTGGCTACAAACTATATGAATGTTTTCTGGAGCCACAATGCTAACCAAAGCA